GGGGGTAGTTGGGGGGGGGGGGGGGGGGGGGGAGAAAAGATAAGGAACAAATGGTCTGGTTTATTGTCTGAATTTATATTTGTGATGTTATTCTTTCCTGAAATGCATGTGTGAATGTGTGGCGTAAATGTGAAGTTCTAGTCTAGCTTTCAAAAGTAGCATAATGAGAAATTGAAATTCCTAATCTGTTTTTGTTGTCTTTCCACAGAATTCTGTGTGTCCATTTGTCGATATTGTCTACTGGATTCCAACTGTGAAGAAACGCTATAGCCTTCCTGTGCAATTTTATGAAGAGACTTTCTCCCATAAGAGCTAGCCTAAATATTGTGTACAAAGTCCAGTCGCAAAGCTTTTTTTTTTTTTTTTCTGCTGCAAGTTAGCCCATTTTTTTAACTTCCTACTTGGAAGTTTTAAGTACATTGTGATGTCTCATTCTTCATTTTGTGGAGTATCAGAACTTGGGCTTCACCATGAAAACCAAAAGAACTGCGACACACCCTGAAGTCCAGTCTGCTTTCATCGTAACCAGCATAATCATCATCTCCGTCCCCCACGTTTGTGTACTCTGACCGTTTTTGTACAATGCTGATGCCATGCAAGCTAAAATAGACCCGTATGCCTGTCTTAATTTGTATAATGCATGAAGGATGAGTGGAAGCTTTTGATTGGGAGAACAACAAGAGTCTCAACGCATGATTGGAGATGTTAAGATACTCCAGGAAAAGTACCTCATGTCCTGATATGTATCTACCTTTTCTCCCATGTTGATGTTAAAAAATAGATCTTGCTCAGAAGAAAGGCTGATGCGGACTCTTAATGGACTGATAAACATAAAAAAAGGACGGAAGGAAACGTGAGGAAGCATTTTTATTTTTTAAAGTATTTGTCCTTCACATGTCTGTACGAGGAGGACCGGCTGATGCTGAACTGCTTCTGTTGAACGGACCTTAGCAGCTTGTTGTGAAAATGGACACGGGCACAGTGTGTCCCAAGGTACACGTGCCAGCTGTGCGTTTGCGACTAAGTGAGTGCGGGAAAGGCATGTCCCAGCATGTTCGTCTGAACGAGAGTCCGTCTGACCCGACTCAATACCCAATCATACTCCCACCCCCTCAAAAATAAACCGCGTGCGCATGCCCTCCGAGAAAGCACCAACAACAAACGCTGTCCTTCCAGCTTCTGATGACTGACCGACTACAGTTTTACATTTCTCCCGCACAAGATTTCAACTGTGCAAGACGCTTCTGTTTTGCCGTTTTTGCCTGTACTATTCTAAGCACATAGTCACGTAAACGTGAACGACAGAAGGGGAGAGAAAAGAGGTGAGAGTCGTTTCGTCACCCTGCGAGGGAATGCAGTCTCTATGGCAACAACAAAACTGTAAATTTAAAAAAAAGAACAAGAAAAAAGTGCAAGAAACTGGTTGTCTGGCTTCACATATTTCAGTGTCTATTACTAGTCTTAATTTGTTTTTTTTAAAGCTGTTTGTTTTGTTTGATCCATTGTGTATTAACAATATATATTTTTTAATTTATTGTTAATTTTTCTGCTTGCATATATGTTTGGATGTGTAGAAGTTGACAGGTTGTTGTACCGTGCATGGCCCAAAACGCTCTGTGTTCCTGCTGCTCTTTTGCACATTTACATAAGGTAATTTTGACTGAGCAGGTGGAATTTGTAGTGGTCAGCGAACTCTTGAGCCTCTTGTTCATCTGATCAAAAACATGGAGGCTTGGAGGTCAAAGGTCATTGTCTGAATAAGAATGGGCCGAATGATGTCAGAGGTTCAGGTTACCCAAGGTGGGCAGGTCAGCAGATGGGGGAGTTGGGAAGTGGTTTTGAGAGTTTAGGGGATGGCTTTCTTCAAAACGGAGGGCCAATTCCCCCAAAAATGAAGATTGTCATTTTTGGGTGAGCTATCCCTTTAAATTTTACCCAAATGAGTCAGGTTCTTTAGATTAAGTAATTGTGATGTGCTGATGTGCTTTAACCACAGGTCAGTTCATTTAATTGTGATGGTTCTCTGACCTGCATCAACTATTTGTGATCTTATACAATATAGATTGACCTCAAACCTCCATCTAAAAAGCATTATGTTTCGCTTCTAGAACATTAGTGTAGTTTAGCTAGTGCTTTCGACCAGTGACCCCATGCCAAACTGGGGCCAGTATTCAGCCTCTGTAACTCTGCTCTGCATCCATCACTCCGTCAGTACTGAAACTCAGACTGACACAGGGTATCTTTGGGTTGTAAGGGTCCTGTAGAGGAATGTATCTGAGGAATGTGACGCCCGCAGCTGCTCTCAGAACAGCTGGAGCGGTCACCAGCATGTTGTAACTTTGACTGTCCCTTACAGTTCAGCAGTGCTGTTAACATTATGATTGGATTAGGAATATGTCACAGTCACCTTGCTGGATGCACTCTTAAAAACACAGGTTCCAAAAAGGATTTTTGCAGTGATGCCATAGACCAGGGGTGCCCAAACTGCAGAGTTTAGCTCCTCCAACCCTAATTAAACACACCTGAACCAGCAAATCAAGCTCTTACTAGGCATACTAGAAACCTCCAGGCAGGTATGTTGCGACAAGTTGGAGCTAAACTCTGCAGGACACCGGCCCTCCAGGACCGAGTTTGGGCACCCCTGCCATAGACAAACCATTTTGGGTTCTTCAAAGAACTTTTCGATTGATGGATTCTTCCAAGAATCTTTTTTTTCCTTACACTGTGTTTACACTGGACACGAATGATGCTTTACAGCAAAAGCAAATAGAGCCCATTATAAACAGCAACATGACAGACTAAAAACGTATGCCCCTTTATGTTTCTGACGCACTTCATGCGCTTGTGCTACTTCCGACAACAGTACAAATGGATTCGGAACTTTTGTTTCGCATTCATTGTAGACTGCAAACTATGTAGACACAGTGTTAGTATGAAGAACATTTTAATAACCTAAAGAATAAAGAACCTCAATACAAAACCTTTATTTTTAAGAGTGGATGTTAGTTGCTACAGCCTGTGACATAAAAAGCGATGATTTCATCGGGCAAATTTAATGATGATGAACAAAATTGTGTTTATGATAAAGCTGGATCCCAAAGGTCTTGGAATAACTAACAGTGATGTCTACGTAAGGGCAAAGACCATAGTGCTTTCATGTCAATGCCAAATGTACTTCTTGTAGAGATGATCTGTCTGTTTGAATATTCACTGCAGAGCGACAACAGTGTCCGGGTAGGTTGAATAACACCACTAGCAGTTTTCTACACTATAGCTGTTGTGACAACACTGTTCTACATGCTACAAACCAATTATATAGCTTTAAATTAATAGAATATAGTATTCCATGTTGTTCAATTGCACAGCGACTGCAAAGTTGAAGGAAAGCCCAAAGAGAGGAAAACTGGTAGCAAGCGTTCCTCCCGCAAACCCTCTCATCCCCTCCAGGAAATTCTTGTTTACAATGTTCCGATTAGCCTTTAGGGTCTTACACCCCCCTCCATCTTCCAGAATACCTTTTCACAGAACACTGTACACTCTGACCTCCAGCCAATCAAAAAACCCTGTTCTACCCCCCTCGCATAGCACAGTTGCTACAGCAATGGTCAACAATCATTGCCCCCTCTCCATTTGAATTAGTAATAGTCAAGTGTTTTTTGTTTTTCCCTCCTCTCTCCCTCTTACTCCTTTGCCCTCCCTTCTTCCCACTCTTCTCCTGCTGAAGTGAAAGATTGATTCAGGGGTTACTCATAAGCCCGTGTGCATTTAGGACTCTTAAACGCTGTATGCCTTCACAAACCGACGCATTGCTAAAGCACTGTCAATGTTGGCCTGTACTGTTGTTTTTGTGGGTGTTATTTTTCTTTTTTATTTCTATATTTGACGTATTATATAATTATATTGTTATTTTATCTCAACCACTGCGGTTAACATTATTTTGTACAAGTGATTTTTTCACAATGTGAAATTCATGGCTAAATAAAGACAAGAGTTTTTCCTCTTAATAGATACAGTATAAAAGCTTCTTGCATTATTCAGGTTTTCCTGACTTGTCAAAAATAACTTCAGTACATGCTTTTATGATCCTGAACGAAGTTTTTTTTTTCTCTCTCTTTTATGTAAAGAAATTAAGCTTTTAATTCCAGCATGGCTTATTTGGAGCTCATGAAAACATTTCTCACATATCTAGCCAGCTTTATATGGCAGGCAGCACTTGTCTGTACAATGTATTAAATTAGTGTGTTTATTAAGGGCCCCTATACATGTACAGAAAAGGCTGAGGTCATCTCGTCGTGTCTGCCTCTGTGTGTGTGTGTGTGTGTGTGTGTGTGTGTGTGTGTGTGTGTGTGTGTCTGCAAGACAGGAAGTAACAGCCATACGTGACCCATAAGATACTTTCCGTTTTATTCCAGTGTTGCCGTGGCAACCCTGATCATTATCCGCAAACTCTGGCAGCTGATGTGAAACATGAAAATTTAAAAAGACCTCCTCCGCCACAGGCCTCCTTTTCTTGTCCTCTTTCCATTTTTCATGGAAGTTCCTCCTACGTTCTTTATCGTCCTCTTACCTTGTTCCTGTAATTCCTTAATGGATATCAAATAACCATGCATGGTCTATTTTTAACCATTCCAAAGATTCTGCATCCTGCCCTCAATAACTACCAGGTTTACCATGAGTAAACAGACACACAGTGACACACAATGATAAAACGACTCCCTTTCAGTAGGTTAAAGAAAGACCCGTTTTACAGGCTCTTGACACATACCCAAGCACACTATGGCAAGATGATAAGGATGTGCTTAATCACACTCTGAGAAAGCCGTAAAGTTCACACTTCTCACAGGCTCATATAACCCAAGTGATTACAATATATCTCCATGATAACATGTTGACTTAAATATTAATTAATATTAATATTAATATTGGAGATATTATATGGATTGTGTAATGGCATGGTCATTTCCTCCAATAAAAACAAATTACTCATAAGTACCACTCTGCATACATACATGCAATACGCACAGTCATGTGATATTGTGACCCCTCAAGTTCCTGTTGCCAGGCAACATGTCTGTCAGTTCCAGAGAGCTGGCACATACGCTGTGTTTTCTGCCATGGTAAGAGCCTCCTTGAGAAGTCACGTGGTCTCTTGGCCAATAATAGGTTGCTCTGAGTGAAATCTGATTCAATCATCAATCAGGTGTAGAGCACCTTGCTATTCAGCTAATGGCTATAATAAAAGTAGCAGACTAATTGCAAAACAAGTGTCTTTTCAAAACAAGTCTTTCTCTGATGGCATTCTTTAACTAACAACACTCATGGCCAGTCTTAAACCCTTATTATTCAGTGTGGTTTCTTAATGGGATAGTTCACCCAAAAATTTTAATTCTGTCATTCTTTATGACTCAACCTCATATCGTTCCAAACCTGTAAAACCTCTGGTCTTCTTTGGAACACAAATTAAGATGTTTTTAATGAAATCCGAGAGCTCTCTGACCCTGCATAGATAGCAACGCAACTGAAACGTTCAAGGCCCAGAAAGGTAGTAAGGACATCGTTAAAATAGTCCATGTGACATTACTGGTTCAACAATAATTTTACGAAGCTATGAGAATACTTTTTGTGTGCAAAGAAAAGAAAAATAATGACTTTATCCAACAATTATTTTCCTCCATGTCACCGTCCACCACCATTCATGAGGGTACCATGCATCAGAAAACTCTCAGATTTCATCAAAAATATCTTAATTTGTATTCCGAAGATTAACAAAGGTCTTACGGCTTTGGAACAACATGAGGGGGGAGTAATTAATGACAGAAATGTCATTTTTGGGTGAATTATCCCTTTAAGTTTTGTTAGCTGAATAATGAATGACCCATTACAGAAAGGCGTCATACTTTATAAACAAAGCAAACCATACAGTATATATTTACATTGGTTGTGTTCGGTGGTCGATTCTGTCACGTCACGCTCCGTTTTCGGTGGTGAGTGACAGAAATAGAGTCGCCTCGTCATATCGCGATTGACAAGGACACGAAATTTATAATATATCAGACTGCAATATATTACAGTGCTAATATTTTTCCATTTTCCTCGAGGCTCAAGCATAAAATTGTTATAAGGTTAAATATTCTGATATCAGTTTGAAACCCACAGAATAAATATATAATACAGTTCAAAAATAAGATAGTTAAAGGTTACATGACCACAGAATCTTCATTATTGGCTAAACTAATCATTTTAGGTTCCGTACCAAATCAGAACCTCCTATAATGTGACAGTCAGTCATGTTTCGGTCAGTTTTAGGGTTAAAAGCAAAATATATTCCAAAATGACCAACATAAACTCTAAGACCACACATATAGAAAATGCCCTTATATTGACCTTTGAGGAAGGTTAGCTGCCTTTAGTAGTGCCTGTTTGTGATCAGGCCCACCTGTAACACATTAAAAAAAGAAGAGGAAGAGAGGAAAGAGAAAGTGACCGTGTAAACAGAGCGATGGATGGAGAGAGAAGGCAGCAGAGGAGGGGTGGGTCTCAAGGGGCTTGTGATTGAGACCACACACAAAAGCTTGGAATCATCCAAGCCTGTTCCCTCTCTCCCTTTCTCCTCCAGAGCCTGGCTGCACTCTTTCACTAAAGAGCTCTTTGGATCAGTATTAGGAGGCCTGGCAGAGCTGAATATCCTCTCAATAGCTCCCCCCCCCCCCCCCCCCCCTCTCTTTTGCATATCTCCATCATTTGGTTAAGATCACCTACTAGCCTACTAGCTATTAGCTGTCATTATTATCTGTGAATCTAGCAGAATTTTGACTGTTGGGATGAATTTTGAAAGCATTATTGAGTGATGTAAGTAGCTCTTAATATTTGTATTTAATTTAATTTAAATCAGTTTACATTTTAATACCCTTGTAAAATCAACTAGCTTCCCTTAATTTTCTAGAATTCAACTCTTTGTATGTGCACATTTTTATTTTTACACCACATTGTTATTGCTGTCTCATTTAAACTGCTGTCATGAACTGGAAACAGCTCATTACATATCAAAACACACTATCACCCTCTCCATTAACTCCAGCATCTGCATGATAAAGTTCTGCTGTGATTATCTGATTGCGATAAATGGTGGTAAAATGTTGCTTGAATGTCATAATTTGGTACTAGGGTACTGTTTGTTATTGATTGGCTTTGAAAACATAGCCAGGCCCAAAACCACAGCAACACACACTGATTTGATGCTGTTTTTCAGGGCCAAAGAAGCTGTTAAGCTGTTTTTTTTTTGAAGGGCAGTTTCTCTAAACCCGTCTTCTCTCATTAATCCAAGAGCTGAATGAAAATGCTGGAGATACTCTGAGGACAGACAGGCTGTCATAACAGGAAAGCTCATTTAAAATAACAGACTTGTGGAGTTTGCTTCACTGATCAGTGTGAATCAGTGACGGACACTCAGCAGCATGAACTAGTGAATCTCCACTCCAGCTTGAAACTGAAATAGAGAAAAGAGAAATTTATTAGGTTTATTGACCTTTAATTAAAGGAGTGAATGCTCATGCATCAGCTGGCACGAGCGGCTTTACTCTTATCAGTCTCTGCCATTCTCGTTAAAGACGCTGGTCTTTAACGAACTGGAAAAGTAATTACTGAGGGAGGAATGTTGTCAATATCAGCCTGCCCTGATGCAGACATATATTGACTGTTTGCACCATTCCTTTGATTAATTTAACATTAAATACTTGCCTAATGCTTAGTTAAGAAGGAGGGCTATGTACTTTACATGACATAATCTAGTAAAACTGTAAATGTATGACTTTTATGTGCCAAAGTCATTGATTTTTATCTACTTTACATTTTTAATCAAAACCCAATTTTCACTCTGATCAGTTCTTGTGGTGAAAATTTTATTTGAAGAGATGTAGCAAAAAATTACTAACTGTAAAAACAGTAGCATTGTGAAATATTATTACAATTTATAATATTGTTTTCTATTTAATTATATTTTAAATGTATTTTTTCCTGTCATGGCAAAGCTTAATTTTCAGCAGTCATTGCTCTAGTAGTGACTTTCTATTAAATTACAGCATTTTCTGAAATCTTGTTTATCATTATAAATGCATTTATTGTCACTTCTGTCTTTGCGTGTGTATATATATATATATACAGTATTTATATATATATATATATATATATATATATATATATATATATATATATATATATATATATATATATATATATACATGGTATTTTTATTCTTCAGTCCAAGGAGTGATGTTCATGCTTAAGCTGAGTCTATTATGAACGGCACGCCAAATTCATTTGTCATATCTCATGCTGGGATAATATAGACCAGTGAACTTGTTAAATAGTTATTGTGTTGCACTTTATAGAACAGAGGAAATTATGTCATGTCTCTAAAAGAACACTAATTGGCTATTTAAATTTTTATGTTTGACAAAAAATTAAATAAAATACACTCTTTGTATAGGCATACTGTCAGGTTCACTAAAAGTTTACAATTTCATGTCATTATGTGGCTAGAACAAGATGCAAATAAGAAACATTTGCAATAGGCAACCATTAAAGTGTGTGTGTCTGTGTGTGTGTGTGTGTGTGTGTGTGTGCAGGATGTGTTGGATGAACAGAAAAACGGACCAAATCAACAGCTTCCTTGCAACACCCCTCAGTAAAAAACACTAATAAGAGGCGGTGTCCTTATAAGGGGTTGAACTGGTGGTCAATGACGTATGAAGGTAGGATAGCCACTGTTAATGAGGCAGCGTAAAACACACTCAAACCCAAAGTCAGCCTCCGAGGCACCAGTTTGTGTTGTTAATAGGCTAAAGCACCAGAGGTTTTGGATTCTTCACTGGGACTGCGGTCTGACATTTGGGGGCCGCCTTCCCTTTCATCAGTTAAATGAGCTGCTCCCTAATTAGACAGCACGCGAGCAGATGGAGTGTGTGTGAGCGTGTGTTTGAGTGGGAGGAGGAACCCGGAGAGTATGT